GTGGCAATGGGATTTAACTTTTGTTCAAACACTGATTTCGTTTGTTGTTAATGAAATTGATTAAGATTTTCAGTTATAATATGACATTTGTGAAAATTAGCAGTATAATTCTCACGGTTCAATTTTGTTGATACCAGAAGAACTGTAATAGCCTATCGACTAATTTTAAGACAGTAGTTTTATACTTGGAAACCATAAAAAAATATACCAATATCTATTCAGGAAGTGGACAAAATAATGGAACAATTCTATACTAATACATTTTTTCTTCTTCATATTTCTCCAAAAATATATATATATATTCGAAGGCAGGATTAATATAAACCAATGCAATATAATATAAAATCTACTGTCCACTCATATCCTACGATTCTTGTTTCAGTTGTTTCCTGCTGTTTTTTTGAATTTTATGGCTTTGTATTTTGTATTATTCGACATTTTCTTCAAATATTTATCGTCCAGTTATAACATAAACATCTTGGCGCTGTTTTAAATTGGAATTATATGTGAAATCACGTATTTTCCCACTATACAGAACTTTTAAATTCATATGATTGAAACAAAAAATTAGAAACTACCACTATAAATGTTTGAATAAAGTAAAGATATATTTATGATTGGTTATTTACTTTAATCAAGATATAATAATAATAATTAATAATTAAGCCAGTTGAAATATCATAACGACTGGTGAGTAATCAAATATTGCGAACAAGTATTTCTTAAATATGAGTGAAACCTTATTTATATAAGGAGGAAAAAGGCAAAAATCTGGTAAGAAGTTCATTTCATTCTCTGCTTGTTTTCACGAAGGCTAAAATATAAATTTTGACAAGTTTTTTAAACAGTTATACTTAACAGATTAGTTTAACAGTCATTACTTAAAACGAGAAACAGTTCATAACAATAAAAATTAATCATAAAAATCAGAATTTATTTCTATCTCTCACATGAATCGATATGTATACAATGGTTTACAGCCATTTTTCGCCTCACTTTCAACCTTGGGCCAGGGGTGAAAGCGAGACGGAAAAGAGGAAAGGCTGGTAGTAAAACCATTTCAGTTATGGCTGGTTTTGGGGAGGAGTTTACTTATTCTTTTTTTTAAATTTTTCAACAATATCTACTTTATCTTGGAAAAGAAGCAGTTTTATATATATGCCAGAATTATAAAAGAAATCTTGATAGTTACAGATATTTCATTTTTTTCGAAAAAAATGCTGGAATGAAATGTTTTACGTACCAGGTTTTTCTCTTTTCAGTCTTGCTATATATGGGCTTTCACCCATGCCTTGGCCCTATGCAAGATAACCAACACATATGAGTATGAGTATGACTTGGCCCTATGAAAAAATAATATTACTATTATTAATTTATAGAGGTCGTTGTTAATTATCTCAATGTTAATAATAATTTCTAAAACCCAACAGATGGCGCTCTGCGCAGTAATGTCCTTTAATAAAGGAAATTATTTGATTTTACTTTGAAATTAGAGAATGTTTTAAATTGGATTTTTTTTAAATATGTTAATTAATTTATATTCAGAATTTATAAATAAAATGAACAAAATCTATATTGGTTTTAGTTTAACATTTTTTTAATCAAAGAAGTTTCTGATTTTAGTTTCAGTTACTTCATGTATTTTAAAATAAATTAAATTTATATTTTAAGAAAATAATATTTGCCTAAAATTTTTTCTCTCGTTTAAACCACGCTATAATTTTAGGCTTTTTTCACTTAGAGCATTTCTACGTCTCTGAAATTATTTTATCGTTAATAATGATACTTGTGAACATTTAATTCTCGTTTTCTGCTGCATGAAACCCTTGAACGGATCTTACATACCTACCAACTCTTCCGGATTTTCCGGAAATTTAATTTTCATATTTAAAGTGGTAGTAAATATATACTATTTTTTTCTTTTATAAAATTAATTTTTAAATGATTTTAATCACCACTATTTTTACGAAAATTAAGCAGATATATTAGCATGCGTTACTATCATGGTAGTCAACTTAAGTTTTTTCAAATGCAACGTATTTTTTTGCTTAAAATTGAAGTTTTAATTTCATTTTAATACCACTGGGGAAAATGATAATGGAAGGGATTAAAAGTTGGCAGGTATGCTTAGATATTTTAGTATCGCTGATTTTAAGACTACAATTGGTTTTTCTCTCTACAAGCTATTTTTTTTTTTTTTTTTTTTTTTTTTTTTTTTTTTTTTTTTTTTTTTTTTTTTTGCAATTTGATAATGCATTCCTAACCAGGACTTTTTAACATTCACTCGAGTGAATACAGTGTGTCTCCTCTCCTCTGCTACGTCAGGTGTGGAAGGGAAAATACGATAATATATTTAAGTTTGATGTTTCGATACGTTAAGATCATAGGCTTTTAGTTTCATATCCTTATTTTCAAAAAAAAAGCAGCCAAGTGTATAGGCATTTATTAAAAACTCTTCATTCTGATTTAACAAGATTTAAACAAAAACTAAACTGAACTAAAATTATAATTATGAAAAAATTGATAGATTCCAGAATGCAATTTCAGACTTGAAATTCCCACACCCGAACTAGGTAAGATCAAGTACTTATATAAATGCTACAAATTTTTTTTTCTCCATTGTAATTATTTTCTTAACCCATTAATCGTCGAACTTTCTTTCTCACTAGTTTTACTGTCCAGCATATAGGAAATTTGTGCAAAATATTCTTTTACCAAAGGTCAAGAAACAAATCTTTAATGAAATTTAATGTCTTTGTACTTTGATAAGATTTTATGAACATGAACATTTCACTTCTCAAATGGAGCTGGATATTTGAGCCAAAAGTGGCCTTTGCCAACTCATCGTGTCAAATAACATTCAGCGAGGTAGATAAATTACATGTAGAAAATAAAAGTTTCATATATGAGAGGATATGCGTTGTTCTCTAGGCGTAGTCTTTAAACTGCGTGTAATAATAGATTAATTTAATGCATGAATTTGAAGTCTTCATCATATCACATCGCTGAAAAAGTGCACCGCAATGGATCTGATGCATTTGTCTTTTAGGTTCTGATACTGAAAAATATCTTTAAAGTTTGCTGTATTAAATTTTAAAGCTTTGCCGAAAAAATTCTGGTTCCTCTGTCACTGTCAAATCTTTATTTTTTAACATCTTTATGGAGGTCTATGCTTCGTATGAACCATCTTTACTTTAGTTATTTTTTTCTCTCAGGTCCCGCAGTGGACTCATTGCAAAGACACGGTTCCCAGAAGAGCACTGAAGTCAAACATCACTGGCTGCTATCAGTAAGCGGGAGGGTGACCATTTTGATCAGCCAGCGTAGGAACCGAGGGTGTGGGGTATCGGGCCTCGTTAAACTGTTCAACCGTAATGTCTTCTACCTCGAGAGCAGGTCGTCGGGTTACTAAAGCAGGGGAGCAATCCCCTCTGTAGAGGATCAAAACTGCGACGGCATGTCTTCGGATCATCCTCAGGCACGTTTCCCAGATCGTCGCCAGTAGTACATTGTGCAGCTCTAGTTCGATGGTAAACAAAGTACCTACTCACCTAGTACCTATTTTTCTCAGAACTTTATTTTGAAAAGTAACAAGTTTCTTTATTTGCGTGTTTGAAATGTTGTCCCATGCTGGTCGGGCATATGTGAATATTGGTCTAATCTTTAATTGATAAGTCGTTTTAGCTTGGTATCTTATTTTGATTTGGAGGAGATAAGAGCTTTCAGTTTGTTTATTGTAACTATTGATTTGTCTTTGGACTTTTATATGGTCATTCTAAGTGCAATTTTGAATTTTGTACCATGCAAAGGTCTGTCACCTTTGGCACTATTAGAATTCGGTCATTGAAGTGAGTCAGAATGTTGATAGTTTCTGATTTTTTCTTGTTTTTCTCTATGATGAGCATACTGAATTTGCGAGTACTAATTTTTATTTTTCAATGGAGAAACCAATTTTTTATTTCAAAAGCTTCGTCTTGCTGTTCCAAAATCGCGTTTTCGGATTTGACATCTATACCAGTGTCTTTCACATATAAGGCATTGAGGCTATTTTTATTATCTCGGGCTACTGGAAAATCATAAGTGAACAACATGTAGAGTACGTGTGGACGTGCTTCCTTGAGGCATGTTTTAACACGCTCACGCCGGGGTGACCCACCGTTGGGTCACGCTAGATTGTCTCATCTTGGCAGCGCACCGGAGTAAAAACTGGTAACAATAAATTTCATTTTTAGTTTTTTCCGGGAATAATAAAAATTCATAAATACCAATTGTTTTTAACGGATGCAATTTTTATGTTGAATTGCTTCTTCGCCGTGATAAATTTCCTTACAGTGAATTGTTATTGTTGAGAATAGATTAACTCCTCCCGAATATCATCTGAGATTGAAATAGTTCTTCTACCAGTATTTTCTCCTTTCCCGTACCAGTATTTTCACTTTTCCCGTACCAGTATTTTCACTTTTCCCGCGGTGAACGTGTTAAGGCATGTTCCCATAGGAAAACAGACTTCAATCAATTTGTAAAAAAGTCACTCACGCCATTGACGATCTGGCGCTTTGGCGATATCAAAGACGAGGAATAATGATGTTTCTCTTAGATGTAAGAATATTAAGAAAGATCAGTTCAGTGGAATTAAATACATTTGCAGGCTTGTGTGGTCAATTTAAGCTAATAAACCTTTGTCAAATAGAGTGGCAGATAGCACAATACAGAGAAGGACAGCACGAAGATACATCTAGGGTAACACTGGGATTCGAACCCGGTGCCTCCACGCCTTGCATAGCCTTTGGCTGGTTCGTTCGACCAAGGGGGACCCACAATGAAGAGTTAAAAGTTTTCTAAAGCATATATACACAGTCCAGTCACATTAATGTGACCACCACCTATTTTCGACGTCAACGTGAAATAACCAATCACAGAAAGCAGGTGGCAGCACATTACAGAGGAGTGTATGTATAGGATGTCCTAGGGCATCGGAAAGCATTTCAATCGTTGGCGTAATGCAGAAACGTAGTGATTTATCCGACGTCAAAAAGGGCATGATTATGGGCTTTCGGACCAAGGGTGGAAGTATTTCAGAAACGGCTAATTTTGTGAACTGTTCGAGTGCCGCCGTGGTAAAAGTATACCATGTATGGCAAAATGGCACTCTTCAAAATACGCAGCGTGGCACATGTGGTGCACCACAGGTTATAGATGACAGATGTGAGCGAAGGCTACGAAGATGTGTTCAGGCGAATAGACGTGAAACTGTTGAGCAACTGACCTCCCAGATGAACCAAGGGGCTACCAAGAGTGTATCCTCAATAACTTTTCAGCGAACGTTGCTGCTCATGGACCACAGCAGCAAACCCCTGGTTAATGCACCTATGCTGACTGCTGTTCATCGGCGACGAAGGCTGGAATTTGCACGCCACTACCGAAATTGGACGTCCACAAAGTGAAAACAGGTGGCTTTTTCCGATGAATCACGTTTTACGCTCCATCGGACAGATGGACGTTGGCGTATACGGCGTGAAACGTCTGAAAGCAAACACCCTGCAACAATTGTCGGAAGGATCCAGGCTGTAGGAGGGAGCTTTATGGTTTGGGGAATGTTTTCCTGGCATTCACTGGGTGCACTCATCATTGGGGAAGACACGATGGATCATCACAAGTACGCATCTGCTCTTGCGGACCATGTCCACCCCTACATGCGAATGATTTTTCCTCAGAATGATGGCATCTACCAGCAGGACAATGCGAAGTATCATACAGCTCGGAAGTGTATGTGCGTGGTTCGAAGAGCACCAGGATGAATTTACCGTACTCCCCTGGCCAGCAAACTCACCGGATTTAAACCCAATCGAGAATCTGTGGGACCACCTCGATCGGGTTGTTCGGGCCATAGATCCTCAACCGCGTAATCTAGCGCAGCTNGAGGACTGTTTTAACACGTTCACGCCGGGGTGACCCACCGGTGGGTCACGCTAGATTGTCTCATCTTAACAGCGCACCGGAGTAAAAACTGGAACAATAAATTTCATTTTTTAGTTTTTTTCCGGGAATAATGAAAATCCATAACTATCAATTGTTTTTAACGGATGCAATTTTTATATTAAATTGCTTCTTCGCCGTGATAAATTTCCTTACAGTGAATTGTTATTGTTGAGAATAGATTAACTCCTCCCGAATATCATCTAAGATTGAAATAGTTCTTCTACCAGTATTTTCTCTTTTCCCGTACCAGTATTTTCACTTTTCCCGTACCAGTATTTTCACTTTTCCAGGCGTGAACGTGTTAAGGCATGTTCCCATAGGAAAATGGACTTTGATCAGTTTGTAAAAAAAGTCATTCATGCCATACCCGATCTGGCGCTTTGGCGATATCTAAGACGAGGAATAACGATGTTTCTCTTAGATGTAAGAATATCGACGAAAGATTAGTTCAGTGGAATTAAATACATTTGCAGGCCTGTGTGGTCAATTTAAGCTAATAAACCTTTGTCAAATAGAATGGCAGATAGCACAATACAGAGAAAGACAACACGAAGATACATCTAGGGCAGGGGTCGCCAAACTTTTTTGATCATTGACCCCTGCATAATTTTTCGAAATCTCCATCAACCCCCACAAAAGTAATTTTCTATTAATAAAAATAAAACTCTATTAGATACTGTGTTTGTACATTTATTTTATGATTTTAAACATTTATTAAAGTAATAGTACATTGTGTAACAATAGTTTTATGAAAAATATATTAATATTGAAATTTAAATTTCTTATTATTAAATAATAAGTAATTATGCATAAGTAGATATAATAAGTAAAGTAACTAAGGTGCTTCTTGATCAATGAGATGGATGTGCCTGGTGTTTTTTTTTGCAAGGTTCGCTATATTGGGTTCAAAATTGGTAAATTTTAATTTTCGTCAAAATTGGTCAATTTTGTAATTTTCTTAAAAAAAATACAGAGTGTGCTATAGTTTTGTCGCGATCTGTACTAATCCATATTATTAATGCTTACCTTCTTTTTTGTGCATTGATAATTAAAATTGATATCTAAGCCAAACGAATGGTTTTATCGAAACAATTACTAATTATCCAAAACTATAAAAGTTTTAATAATGACACTGCAAATATTCAACACAGTTTTCAAAGATAGCTGAAACTGCGTATGATATTTGCATTTGTAACGTCAATGCTCGTCACACGTGACATTTGGACAAGCGCACCTATGCATATGACTTATAAACTGCCCTGAATTCGTGCCAGTGCGCGGTAAATACTTGTTACACCCCAATAAATATACGCTTATTAATTTATGTTTTATAAAGAAACTCATATTAAGTCAATTATAAAAAAATTCACAAATTTTACATACTTAATTAGATATGTGTGGTTTGCGTATTGAGAACTGTTTTTTTTCTCGACCCACAATCGACCCTTCCGATTCGGATCGCCCCCCATTCGCCCCCCCTGTCTCAGATCGACCCCCGCTTTTGTTAAATAGACCCCTGGGGGTCTATATAGACCACTTTGGCGACCTCTGATCTAGGGTAACATTGGGATTCGAACCCGCTACCTCCACGTTTTGCAGGTGATACCGCTCGACCAAGGGGGCCCCACAATGAAGAGTTAAAAGTTTTCTAAAGTATATATATATATTTAATTCATTTAGTTGTTGTGATAGATAAAATAATTTTAAATTAAATTTATAAATTCAAGAAGGATATATTAGATAAAAAAATAAAAATCTTCCAAGAAATCCGCAAGAATTGGCAGCTATGAGTGAGGGGGTGGGAAGTGTCACAGTGNTAAAGTATATATAAATATTTAATTCATTTATTTGTTGTGATAGATAAAATAATTTTAAATTAAATTTATAAATTCAAGAAGGAAATAGGATAACAAAAGTTTATTGTCACTTTAGATATAAAAATCTTTCAGAAAATCCGCAAGAATTGGCAGCTATGAGTGAGGGGGTGGGAAGTGTCACAGTGAATTCAGAGAGAGTTGATCTTTTTAAGCGGGTTTTAAATGATAACTGTTCTTGCAAATACACAACTTCTGAAACACTGCTCTCCCGAAACACCTGGTATTTTACCCACGTTTAAGGTCACGACACGGCATTCATTTTATTTCATTCAAACTCAAGAGCGACGTCATGTAAGGGGGGATTAGTTGTTTCGAGAACAACACGTCTAAATCGATGCTCAATTTCCTCGAGAATATTTACCTCGGCATTGTTATGATTAACGTTAATTTTAGAGAATATTTCTTTTATTTTAGAAAAATAAATAAAAGGGGTTGACACATTTGTTTCATTTTTACAATTCATTTTCCAGATAAAGGTATTGCTCTCTGTACTCGTATAATAATAATAATAATAGTATGTTGTTCTTGTTGTTCATTTACGTCTCACTAGAGCTGCACAATGGGCTATTGGCGACGGTCTGGGAAACATCCCTGAGTATGATCCGAAGTCACGCCATCACAATTTTGATCCTCTGCAGAGTGGATGGCAGCCCCGCTTCGGTAGCCCGACGACCAGCACGCGAAGTCGAGCACTTTAGGGTAGAGCAGTTTAACGAGGACCAATATCGCACACCCTCGGTCCCTACGCAGGCTGATCCAAGTGGTCACCCATCCGCACACTGACCGTAGCCAGTGATGCTTAACTTCGGTGATGTGTTGGGAACCGTGTCTTAATAATCAGTCCACTGCGGAACTAATAATAATAATAGTATTTGGATCTTTAGCCAGCACACAGTGCTTTTATCAAACCTTAAAGGGTAGGTCACAAAAAGATATAACCCTCTAGAAGTAATCAAAAATATGTACTAAAGATTTTTCAAACATTTATTTTTCATGGCTATTACGTCATATTTGGAAATATATTTTATCAGTATATTGCATCATATCTGGTAAAAAAAAAATTTTAATCGTTTTTTGCTGCATAAGAATTTATAATAGACCGTACATATTTTCACATCTCTGATTTAAGATCTGCAATAGGACTTTCTCTACAAGCTAGTTTTTATGCAATTTAATAATATATTTCTTACCAGGATTTTTTTTAAATTCCTTCCAGTGAGTACTGAGCATCCACACTTCTCTGCTACGTAGGAAGTAGCAGGAGGAAAGGAAGATAGGGAAAATGATAATTGGATGTATATAATTATGATAATGTTGATAATAATTAGAATTAGAACAAATAATTTTATTTCCGTCCCAATTTAAAAATGCTGAATTGAATCATATTGTTAATGTGAAATAAAGAGAAGCCCCAAAATTTATACGACTGAACACAAATTTCTTCATTTCGATGTCCTGACTACAAAATTAAAGATTTTGCAGGAAAATAAAGTTTTTGTTCTTTATTTATTTAAGAACTAGTTAGAATATTTCTGTCTGTAGACTATATTCTGTGTTGACTCACAGAAACAGAAATCGTGTTGCATAATGCATTGAAGATAGCCTAAAACAATAATTTAAATTTGAAGTACATTAACATTTAGAAAAATAGTCGAAACATTTACAAAAGAAATCATAGCACTCAGCCGAAAAGTCTCATTAAGAAATGAGTGCATATAATTTAGTCACGTAAAATGACAATTTGGTTGCAAGAGTCGATTCCTCCAATTGTTTTGAAGTTTGGAATTATTTACAAACCAGAATATTTTCGAAAGAAAACTTTGAATCAATGAATGTTTCCGTTTTCTAATTTATTTTTAGTATTGATTTATTGTTCTTAGAATGAATCGATATAAGAGAACGTTGCAAATGGTAAACTCAGAGATGCCAACTTTGCTTCGTGGTATGGGAAAGGTTTTACTAGTGGTAGCAAAATTTATGTTTTAATATTTTATTTTCGGTTGGTATATTTAAAGGAGACTAATTTTTGCCAGTATATCTAAGTAATTTAAACGATAACGCCAGTCTAATTGAATTTCGCTGTAAAGAAGAAGTTTTCAAATTTAAACAAAAACTTTATGAAGTTCAGTTTTCAATACCCAACTACTTAATGAATTTTTTGTTTTGTTTTGCAGAAAGCAAAGCTTCGTTCGTTCGCTGTAGTGGAACTGGGCGTCTGAGGCCTTGCGGCCCTTTGCAGAAAGGAAAGCAGTTGACATTCATGTATCCGCATTAAAAGATCTTTTAAAAAAAGTGTGATTAGATTTAAAATAACAGAATTGATACTAATAAAAAAAGTTTTAACATTAAATTTGTCAAAACATAAAAAAACTGGAATGAGTTTAAAAACGATATGTTTAACATTAATTCTGTAAGATTTCTGAAAATAAGAATGATTCTTCTAAAGAAGTTATAAATATTAACTTTGTAAGAATATGAGAAAGTGAATAACTGAATCATTAAAAACAAATTTTTAAAAAAATAAGCGTTTTATTTTTTTAAATTTCGTTATGGATTTTCTAATTTTCTATGATCGTATAGCAGCGACG